AAGGTATCTCCTGCCGACTTCAGCATGCAGCATAAAATTGTAGGTTAGCAGCACCTACCTGAGCCATTTTGGATGATACTAGTCTCCATTTTAGACAACTAACTGCCATTGTTTGTAGTAGGTGTTTCTGATTTCATGAAAATACAAAAATACTGCTTTATGGTAACATCAAGTTTTATAGGATTTATTTTTTAACAGATTTAGAGGCTGGCTTCATCCATTCATTCAAACTGCACTTAGAAAAATACTTTTTCCTCATCTCTCTATTAAGTAAATAGACAAGCTCTTCAGACAAAATCATAATGTAGGTGCTCTGAACTCCTGGTTTCTCTCTGATTCTCGAGGAAACCTAGATGCTGGAAATAAGGTGATGTGATTGGCTCCTTAAGGATTATATTTACTTTTAATAATATAAAGTAATTTGAAATAAATGCTTCATAGTAATTTAAAGGCTTTTAATCACAGTAATTGAAAGGGTATTGCTAGCAGAGCTGGTCAGTATTCTGAACTATTTAAGAGTAATGACATTTCTTCACTCATAGTATTTGAGGTACAAAATACAAAAAGAAATCTTTAATGTGGAAAGGGCTGCACTTTGAACTGAAAATGGTGTTGAAATCTTGATTCTTTTATATCTTTCATGGTTTTAAATATCATGGGATAGGGTCAGTAGAAAGAACTGATAGGGTTTTGTTGATATTGATGTTTTTATTATATTGACTTTTTAATATGATATTTGAATGAACTGTTTTATATTTAGGATACATCTCTAATATCAACAGTAAATTCCTTGTCTTCCCCTCAGCTTTTCGCAGTCATTCATGCATTTATCCATTACCAATTTATTAATATATTTCATTGGCTGCTCTGCTACATTTTTTTGTTGTTGAAGGCATATGCCATGACAACTGGCAAGATTTGTAGTGAATTTTTAGTACATTTCTAGAGTTCATTGCATAGTAGGACCCTGGCTTGCAATAAATTATGTATATATCTTTGGGAAGCATGAATTTTCTTGTTCTCCAAGATGACCACAGATCATGTTAAAGAGAGTGCTGAGCTTAAGTTAATATTTGCTGTTTCTTAGCTGGACTTATTTGTTAAGACTCAGCACTGTTATAAGTCACCCAGTATGTGGTTGGCCTAGATGATAGCAAAGGGAGCTCATAGCTTGATTGTAAAATGATATATAGGTCTGCCTTTTCTCTCCTGGAAAACAAATGTATTCCTTGCTTTGGATAGCTTGGTTACAAGTTCTGTGGGGAATTTCTAACTGCTCCTTTTTTCTTGGGAGTTTAGGTGACCTTATGCAGTTTCAAAGAGCGAGGTAATTACATAATTTAAAGACTGAGGTCTTGAACCTTATTTAATATTAAGAGGAAGTAATACAGTGAATAGAAGACAAATTCAAGGTGCTCTTAATAGCATGATACAATTCCCTGAGGTCTGGCACTTTCATGTGCAGGAAAATTATATTGTTGTTGTTCAGGTATGAGAACAAGTACAAGACCAAGCAAGTTATTACCTGGGCTATCCCAGTAGATGCTGGGAAAGCATAGAGCGGTGCCACGATACTGACTGGTAGGTTGTGTAGGAGTGAAGGTGAATGTGACTGAAATATTTCTCCATTGCAAATTACCTTCATTTGACTAATTCATGTCTCTATTGGAGGGAAAATGTATTGAGTTAACATTAAAGGACAATATTTTGAGTGTCTTGGATGGAAATAGGAGTGGATAATATAAGCCCTGTTAAAATCATATTTCTCCTTATATACTCAGAAGGAAAAAAAAAAATTTAAAAGGCAGACTCTTTGAAAAATAATAGATGAGTAAATTATTTTCACCCTAGAGGCTACTGATTCTGAAGCATATACCTCTATGTGTTATAAAGCAGATATTAGTCTCCGAATTATTCCTTGCTATTTCATTCTTTTCCTGAAATTTAATGACTATTTTTTTGTGAGCATACTGCTGTTCTTCTTTTTGCTCTACTCCACTGATGGCTGAGTACATCTTTCATGGACAGGAAGATGGGGAGAGGAGTAAGAATCTTAGCATAAGACCAGGAAACGGGCTTCCAAATGCCAGTTGTGTTCAGTTAACAATTTAAAGTTCTTTTCAAATATGCTTTTCAGTTATGGTTCATATATTCCTGTTTTAATACTAGTTATCCAGGATATTTCTGTTCCAAATTTACAATTTCATAAAATTAAAAGAACATAAACATCCTAAAACTTAGAACATAAATGTTCTAAAACATAGATGTAGACTTTATGCTGTTTCCACACAATTAATGTAATAAGATGCAATCATTCATATCTCAGTAACTATGAACTTTTAAAAAATTGTCATGTGCAATATTTAGGGATTCCAAGAATGTTTTAATATTAGTGGCATAAAATTCCCAATATTTGCCACTCTTACTGAAGTGCCCTAGCAATTTTCCCCTCATGTCTTATATATTAAGCTACTTAAAGAGCTGGTAACAAGTTTTGGAGAAAACTATTGCCACTATTTCTGTTTGTACTGTGTCCATCAGGTCCTTGAACATATATTTATTAAAAATTATTGTTTCTGAGTTAGTAGATGACTTCAAAGCCTATAGAGCTGTTTTAAACATCAAGAAAAGCTTAGCTCTCCTTTTGTCTGCACGGTTTTTCTAACATAGCTATTACTACTAATTTTATTGTTCAGTCAACCAGCTTTCATTAGTATCAGTCAATTTTGATTTGTCCAGAAACAAGAAATTCTCTTTGTACATTTATTTGTATTGTCCTGGTACCTACCTTTGTTCAGTAGGCAATTAAAAGAATATTTTCTCCTCATGTTCTTTGTTGGCTTATTTTCATAGTCAACAGCATGATTTAATTCTAATTAGAGCCTTTTTGTTCCTTTTTTTTATTATATCCTATAGCCTCTGTTTAATGTTTTTGTCTGTTCTGGAAAGGTTGCCCCCTGTAACTCCTTCAAATGAGGTGGAAGCTGTCCAAAATTCCTCTTGCTATAGAAAGTGGACATTGTTTCATGAGACCAGGTATCTCTCAGTAATATTGCCTGCCAGGCTACTGGCTTCTTGCTGCATTCTTCTGCCTTTTGGCTTTCTTCACTCTAAAGACAGAAAGTTACTCCAATGGGAGATCACTTGCGTATGACTGTTCTCCAGTACTCCTCTAAATTCCTTTGTGCAATCTGCAATGTCTGAGGTGTTTCAGAAGTATTTGATAAATGCAAATATGAATACTTACTCTCTAAGATTACGAGTTAGTCCAGTTCTAGTCACTTCCGATGTCTTTGCTGAAAGGCAATGCATGTTATCTGCCTCTGTGGCAGAGTATCATTTCTGCTGGCAGAAATCCACAGTGAGGTTTATTTATTGTCTGTGGAGACACAGCTCCAGTGGGAACAGCAGTATTTGTACTGAACTCTGGAATAAAATGGAGAAATAAGCTTATTTATTAGCTTTTAGGACACATTTTTAATGTAGGAGAATAATTCTGCCATGGCTTGTGATGACATTTGCAGGGTGGATAATGACATAATTTGGAAGAAAACGATTCTTAAAGTAAAAAGTTGTCAATGTATCGATCATCTCTTTAGTGTTCTGTTATCTTTAAACACCATTTTTCAATAGCAACTATCACTTGTGGTGTGTACCATCTTAGATTGTGTGTACACTGGTGTTCTGATTTCTACCAGTAGCACAGTTCTGCAATGCATCCCCTATCTCTTCCACTTACTGTGTGTCAGTTCAATTTGCAGAGTGGGTTTCATTTGTGTTCAAACTACGCTTCAGAGGAAATTAATCCAGCAGCTCTACCCTAAGTATTTAATAAGCCTTTTCTAACCTCTAATAGGGTTGTAAGGTCTAAACCAGTGATTGGTCCCCTGAACAGTTTCAAACTACATTGTATAGTTGGATCAGGGGCCAGGCATGATCTAGTCCTGAACAGTACAGAATCTGTAAATGAAGAAACCTCAGCACAAAGTGCTTTGATTTGCTGAGCAGTTGCTTTTGCTCCAAGTTGCTTTCTAATGTAGGCTTAACCTTAGAAATAGAGAACGTGGTTTTACCTTCTGTCACCATGCATTCATATTCATCCCTTCAGTCATATATTAGCTTGAGTATATAATTTATTGAATAATTACAAATATTGACAGAATACTTGTGCACACCTTTGCTATTGGGGAGCTTCCTTTAAGCAGCCCTGGTATCCTAGACAACACAAAAATAGCATCAATTTCAGGATATACTAATAAAGACTAGAACACTGGGAAGTGGTTACATCATGACAGGCTTCTCTGGGCAGAGTAAATATGTGATTTGAAGCAAGAACATTTGCTGTGGAGGTCAATTGGATTTAAAACTAATACTGTCTTTCATTTTTATCAGAAAAGTCTTCAGTCAGGGAAAGTACGTAAGTGGTTTTATTTTTTATCCAGTTGAACTGGCTCAAAGGTTGTCCTGTTTTTGTCTGTTTTGATCTCTATGATACTAGTTTCCCTATTTTATGGCTTCATGAATACCATGGATGCTACTATTCCTCAGCCCCAAGGACAAACTGAAAAGATGTTAAATTATAAAGTATCTGACCTTGGTACATTTTCTGTACATGAACAGAAGAGTTAAGACAGTGACAAAGGGTTTAGAGGAAGAAGAAATCTAATACTTCTCGAACGTAGCAGAATGGCTGTGCAAAGAGGGCTTTTAAGCAATCAAGACCACACAAGCTAATTTGTGACTGATAGTATAAATTATGTGCAGATTCCTTCAGATTGTTTAAATCCACTGTAGTGATATTTTTAGAGCAACTTTGGTTTAATGAAAACTATTATTAAATCGTTAGTCAATGAAAACAGTTATTTAATTTTGTGTGTATGTAAATTATCATATTCATATGCTATCATTATTATCATTTTAATAATAGGCCTATTCAGGGTTTTATCTGTTTGGTTAAATTGGTCAAGTTCCTCTTAGTAACTTCTCTGCTTTGCTTGCAGGTTGTATATAAAAATAATGATGTCAGGTTGGAGTTATCTCGACTTGCCAAACAAGGAGATCCTAAAATGAAGATTCATGGGGTTGTAGCATTTAAATGTGAGAATGTTGCAACCTTAGATCCAATCACATTTGAAACGCCAGAGTCTTTCATCTCTTTACCAAAGTGGAATGCCAAGAAAACAGGCTCAATATCATTTGACTTTCGTACAACTGAGCCAAATGGCCTGATTCTTTTCAGTCATGGAAAACCAAGGCACCAAAAAGACGCCAAACACCCACAGATGGTGAAAGTTGACTTTTTTGCCATTGAGATGCTTGATGGCCACCTCTACTTGCTGTTAGACATGGGATCAGGTACCATAAAAATAAAAGCCTTGCAGAAGAAGGTGAATGATGGTGAATGGTACCACGTGGATTTTCAACGGGATGGACGGTCAGGTAAGCTTGGTTTTTTAATATTCGGTATGTTTTTTCGTGTTGTATCTGAGAGAATACTGGGTATATATATTTTGTTGACACCATTAGAGTTGTGCGTCATCTGAAAAATAAGGGAAATATAAGAAGTCATTACTGTTGGGTACCAGAATACAATGATTTGTAGAGTAAAATATCTTATGTTAACATTTATTGGGTAATCAGGTACTTAATCTTGCAAGTAAGCGTGCTGTGTACTTCAAAAACAAACAGTAATCTCCCTCTGTGCTTGCTTACACCAAATAGCTGAAGTAGCAAGTTTCAAGAATAAAAATAAAGCGAAAAAGAATTACTGAAAGTAATCTCCAACATAGGGAATAGTTGGCCCACAGAAACAACGCAGATCTTCCAATCATGTCAGCAGATCTCGGCATAATAAAATGATATGCTAATGAATGGCTAACAACACATATCAGCAGAAATTGAAATAAGTAGCCTGCCATATTCTGTCAGTACTATTCATATTCTGCAGTAGTTTACTCGACAAATGATCTCACTGAAAAAGATAAAAATAAAGAATTCTTAAACTCTTTCTAATGCTACTGAAATCTGCTATAGCATAAATTGCATTTAACTAGTGAAACTATCCTTGTGTTTCAGCTGCTTCTGATCTTAAGTATGTATCTTGAATTCAGCAAATAAGTAATATCCATTAATTGAAGGACAAATCTATTCTATGGTGCCTTTCCTGTAGTTCATGCCAGAATTTTCCGATTAATTTCAGTATCCAATCTGAATCTTATGTGTGCTCTGAAATTGAGTGTTGAAAAACATACTATTCTTCTTTTGGATTTTGTGGGTTTCCCCCCACTTTCTTCCTTCTGGTGACTCCTTTTCCATGACTTGCATTTATAACTTCTTTCTGAAACTTCACTCCAAAGAAGTTACTGTTTCATGACTTACTTTCTTACTACCTACAAATCAGACTTCAGATCAAGCAAATCTGAGGTGCAGGTTTAAATCGAAGATTTCAGTCAAATCCATGCTGAAAGTCAGACCAAATTCAATTGAACAGTCCACCCTAGGATTATGAAAAATAATTATTTGATTCCTGGGCTGTGGACCTTCAAATTCTAATTGTACAGAGTTTGATTTTTCTGATTATAACATGTCAGTTGCTTATTCACATTTCTTGAGGTTAAAAAAACCAACACGAACAAAACCCCAAAGAAACCCCACAACCAAACAATGAACCAAACTTCTCAAAATCCTCAATTGTGTTTGAATATCAAATGGTTGTATTATTTATACTACAATCTGCATTTCAGGATTCCTTAAGTGCTGTTTCAGTGATTTATATGAGGCAGTAAATTGTGTAATCATCATGCCTGTGGGAGTGCACTGAAAGCAAAGTTTATTCTCACATCCAAAGTCAACGCAACTATAAAGAAAAGACATAAATGTATAGCAATTGTTTACATTTGAAGATATGTTCTGCACTTCCGTTGCTTCACAAAAACTGTAGCTCACAAGTGCCATTAAGAAAGTTTAGGACATACTTCATTATTTAATTCTTTAAAAATGTAGATGGACACCAGCAAGAATGTAGACTAATTTTAGGAAGCGATACACACCTGGTGATCACGACTGAATAATATTTATAAGTAGCGTTATAAATAGTCAAATATATATGTAAAAGAAAAATTAATCCTAGTGATGAATCAGGTGAAATTTATTTACCTTGTTGCTCTTGAAAACTGACCGTAGTACCTGTTCACACTAAAATATTGAACTATTACCAAAAATAGTTAAAAAACATGTAGGCGTATGGATTGACAAACCGAATTTTTCACTGAAATCTGAATGAGACATCAAAGATTTTCTGTGATTTTACTACATACAATAATACTTTACAGTAGAAGTACCAATAACTGTAGCAATGCTGTTGTTTTTCTTAATAAGAATATTGGCTGTGTAGTATCTTCGACCATCAGATTTAACCAGGTAAAATGACTGCCTAGCAATTAAAAAAACCAATGAACTATATGTTCCTATTTTCTTCTGATCAGAACAGGAAGTACTGGTGTTTTACGTTTAGATTATTTCTTCATTACTTATGCATGTTGGTCTATTATGCTTATTTCCGTGAATAATAAAATCTGCTTTACTATTCCAGGAAACTTTTTCATTTATTTTCTCTAGCCAAAACCAAATACACTGGAAATCATATGAATATGATCACTTTTCACTTACTTACCTTCAGAATTTCTATATAAGTGAATGAACATACCTTGTATAAAAGCAAAAATTTGGCTTTTCTGAGTAGCTGCTGACAAAATTCTTCACAATCTATGAAGTATAAAGGAAGGGATTCTCATGTTAATGAATAAGTAGCTCAAATAATTTGTGATTTTTTTTTTTTTTTTTAACGTGAAGTTTCGTGTCTTGCAACCTTTTACTCCTAGCCTTCAAATCCAGTGCAGAGTGGTTCCCTCAGATAATAAAGCCATGACATTTCTCAAGGAGCTTTGCTAATTTCCTTGACTTTTCTGTTAGCAGGACAAGCAAGTACTCGATTTATTTTTTATTCTTTGCTCTCTTCTGGACTCTCAGTCACAGAGAGCATCCACTCTAAACTACTGACATTGCTCTTGCCTGTCTAGGACTCTAGTGGGGGAGATCTAAGGAGTGAGAGCGCTTTTAAAAATTGTACTTATCCAGGCCCTATTCACTAGTAATTCTGCTGATCCCCTCAGATTTTGGGAGATAGAAGGAAGAGGGAAGAGATGGTGCCCTTTAATTTCCTTTTGCTGAAGGAACTTTTGACCTATTATTCTTACAAAAGTTTTCCACCCTAGAATCCCATCCTGCTGCCTGTAAGACCTACTCTGAGCACTTCCTTACCTAAAAAGCAGATCTTCGGTGAGAAGGAACTTCTGAAACTGTATTTCCCAGTGCTCAGTAAAGATTGTTTTCATACCTCCTCCGTTGATCTATCTTTTTTGCTAGCAGAGGAAAAGGAATGCATGTTCTCCCGCAGTCTTTTTTGCTAAGCATGCGGCAGAGGACAAAACCTGGTACCAGCTGCTGTGTCCTGTCATGTGAGCTGAATTCCCTTCCAGTATTCATGATTATTCTGAATTCCTGTGAAAGACAGTAGCTTCAAAGCTGCTTCACGTGTGCCCTTGGCTTTGCCATGGGCTGTATGCCTTGGTCACCATCTTCATCACAGCTATTATATTATGCTTTAGCACACACTATGTAAAGTCTATTTAGAATACCTTACTCTGATTTTTCACTGTTTCTTAGCACGCAAACATGTTTCACATGCACAAAAAGCAACTAAATAGGCCACAAAAGGTAAACATAGAGATCAGAATAGTTGTAGTTGCTGTAGTTACAATCTTCGTACTTAACAGATCAGAATCGAGACAAGGTTCAGAAATATGTTGTAGTTTCTTATACACAGACTTACGAAAAAGTAAATTGCTGAGATAATGAATATGACTGAGGAGGCTCATTAACTCGCACCTAAGGGAAATGTTTGTCTGTTCTGCTCATAACAATACTGTCAACTCTGCAGTAAAAGAACTGGGGGAAAAAAACCCAAACAAACCAAAAACTAAAAAAAAACCCACACAAACAAAACCAACCATGAAGCAGTTGTAAAGGTCTTTGCTCACAATTTTTCTTGTAATGCAGTAGAGTTAGGTTTAATAACTGTTTTCTGAGAGTTGAATATTGTTTAAAACTTTGTTAAATTGTTTACCATATTTAAGGATAACCTTGCAAGTGTCTTTTGACTAAACCAGCATTCATCCTTTGGAAATCATCATTAGACAGTAAAATCTGAGAGGAAACTTACTCATCTTGTCAACCTCCAATTGTGTACGGAACTGTAAAACAGAACATATCAGAATGTTTTTTGTAGGTAGGTAGCATTTAAGGGCTAAGAAGTCACTGAAACTTCGAGCTAAAGTTAAGAGTTTCAGCTTAAATACCAGAAATTGTCGCTAGAGTATCTAATTAGAGCTTAACTATAATCAATATCTCACTATAGGTAGTGCTTTGTTGATATCCATTAGATGCATTGTTGTTGCAGGCTCTTTTTTCACATGTACACTTCTATATACTCCTTACCCCGTCTTTCCAACCTTTTAAGAACTTACAGGTTTATATGTTCCTGTTTCAACAACTGTTAATAGTTTACGTATTTGAGATAAAGGGTTTATCTTGCATTCTAAGGAAAATTCTTCCAATGGTCCTGTTAGTGTTTTTCATTTATTCATAAGCTTATAGAAAAACTGAGATGGGGTGACCTTGAGAGGCCTCTATTTTGCCTCTTCAATGAAAGTGGTGATAATGCACTTGTGTCAGTCTTGACAGATGTATGTTGAGTGACCCCAGCAGAGGATACTGTACAACCTCCCCATGTAATCATTCATAAACTGAGTATTTCTGTATGCAAAACAAGCCATTTTGTCCGTAATTTCTTTGTTCACAGCAGGCACAAAATACACCACACTTTTCCTGTGTCATAGCTCCATACTTTTTATGATTTGAATGCTGTTATGTCAGTCTCCAGTTTTCTTCATAGTCTAAGAAAACCCAGCTGTTTCCTGTCCTTATATATCATGTTCTGTAGCTATTGACCATTTTTATTGCCATCTTCTGCAGTCTTCTCAGCTGATCTGTATCTTTTGCAGAGTTCACGGTAAACCTTATCAATGCTCAGTAAAGTGGTATGGTAGGCTTCTCTGTACCTCCCAGAGTTTCCCATTTTGCTCCTGTGTTATTGTTGACTTATATTGTTGGCTCTTTGTTTCGAAGAACTGCTCACTAATCAGTTATCCTTTAAGTCAAAAATCGTTGCCAAAAGTCATAGTTTCATTCGTTTTTCTCACTGTTCCTCCAATACACAAAGATGTTTCTGAATGTTTAAATTGCATTTTGCTCTCAGGTGAAATGCTGTAGGATCAGAGCACCTGTAGGTCATTATAGGACCTTTAAATTTAAGTCCTATTTCTGGACATAAGAAATGCTACCTGGTTTTAGAGTCTGAAGTTAGATCATGAATTCACAGACTAAATAGATCATGCCGCACCTTCCTGTCTTTCAGTCTTCCTCTTTTTTTTTCAGGCTGGACAAACCAAATGCTATCAGCTTTTTCCCGTTTCTTTCTTTTTCTGGTAGAAATGCAGACAGTATTTCCTACTTTGAGTATTAAAAACTTTGCAAGGAACCTGCTTGTTTCCTGGAAGATATTATTGCCTTAATCCTGCTCTTTTCAAACAAATAGTTTAACTACTAATTTGATTATGGGTGCTGTTATGCTAGGTACTATGCGAAGATATAAGTGAAAGGACGATTCTTACTACAGAGATGTTACAATTTAAGGTTATAGTTTTCTCTTTCTGCTGAGAGGTCAATGCTTTTCTGAGTCTGCTGCTTCCTCATCCTTTTCTGCTGTCTTTAGATTATTTTGTAAAATGAGATGTGTCCCCTTCTTTTCCCTCTTGCTCAACTTGACAATTCTGGTGTGAGAAAGGTTGATGTTACATTATCTTTACAGGGCGAATTATTAACTTTATCCTGTGCTGACCATATACAACATTTGTATGTTGCATTAGCTTCCCTTCTTCCTGCTTGTCTGGAAAGTGATATCTCTTCACATTTGTAAGTAGAAATGGATTGGAGCATGTTGACAATTTGACACAACAATTCCTTTTAATCTGCCTATAATTCCCAGAGGAAGCAGGACTGAAATACAACAAAAGGGGTGTGCATTACTATCCCTGGGTTCTGAGGTAACATCTGCCAATGTCATGAGGTCCACCCTGAGATCATTTCAGTAGAACTTGAAAACTTTCCCTCAAGAAGGATGAAAGACTTAAAAAAACAAACCAACACTCAAAAAAACTCCACAAAACAAACAAACAAAAAACCAGCTACATGAAACAGCACACTCTACCTCTGTGTCACAGCTCTGGATGCACTGTGAATGCAAAGGTGTTTACGGACCAATTATTTTCTATAGGCCTATGTGGTATGAAATTGAGTTTTGCATTTTCTTTTTAGGATATTTTAAGAAAACTATAATTTTGTATGTATTTTGGAAGTCTTCTTTCGTTCCTCCTTATTTTTCTTGGATTTTTCACCTGCATTTATAAAGCAATTAGGTAATTCAAACTTTACTAACTATCAGAGGTATGTAAAAGGTGATTTGGATACCAGCAGCAGTGATGGTTGTATGGCTACCTGGACATGCTGTTAGAAGTTCAGATGGAAACTAGGATAACTTGGTAACTGATGGCATGAAACTCTTGTGCCCAGACATGGGTTTTCTGCTATTAGTTATTGTATTATAGCCACAGTTCCTTTTCTAGACAGTGTACTATATGATATTTTGGTCAAGCTCCTAAATAACAGACGGGCCAGAGTGAATTATTAAAGCTTTGAGTCTTCTGCAGGTGCTCTTTGACTTAGTGTAGACCTCAACAAAAAGGTTTAAACAAAGGTAATTTACAGTCATTTGATTAAGGGTAATACACACAGTATCTAGGTCAGTCAAAGTGTCATGGGTATGCCCAGCAATAAATTGGAGATATCCAGCTGGATAACAGAGGTTCCATGGCCTTCCAAAACATGAAAAAGATGCATAGGAAGTTGTTGCCTGTTACGGTTTTCTACCCATAGTCGTTACATACTATGATTACACTGATGTCAGAGGCCTTCTCACAAGGGGTATTTTATATGGTGTAATTTCTTGGGGAGAGGAAAGGCTCATTTCTTTAAGAAGCTGTTGATACCTATTCAAAATAATACTTAAGCTCTCTCCAGGGTAATCTTTTATGACATACAGAAGAAAATTTTCTTGCTTCAGTCTATCACCAAACTATAATTCACAGTCACCAGAGTGTAGTGGTGATCTACAGTTCCCTTTATCATTCACCTTTCTCAGACTTCTGTGCTTGCAAAACCTATGTTTTGAACCACCATACTAATGTCACAGCTATGCCGGCTGAGATTTACTTGTCTTTTCCTGTGCGTTGGAAACTGTCAAGGCTTAGCTGAATAATTTTTTTAATAGAAATGAAGCCTTAGATGTCTTCTAGCATCATGGATAACTTGAAAATACAAGTATCTTTGTTCAGCAAACAACAGTACTGTGGCAGTGCACAAGCTTGAGGTTGGAGGCTGCAGTTGAGCTACCTTGTGTGGGTGCAAGTGCTGCCTGAACATAGGTTTAAAGCATTTGGTCCTAAATTAGCCTGTACAGCAACATCCTAAATTTTAGGATGTGTCCAAGTAAGAGGATGATCTTTTACTGACCTGACTCTGTTTGCTTAAAAAATTCAAATATAAAAATTCTGAAGCTATTATTCTCATGCATCAATCCCACCACAGTGGAAGTATTTTTGATAGTCAGTATTATCTTCTGGAATCTGTGTCATGATGATGGTGGAAACAGAGAATTGTTTTAGTTCTGTGTATATATGTATGATAAATACGTATACTGTGGTAAATGTGATTCTTTGGTGTCTTGTCACCTTTAATACACTTTTAGTAGTGTGTCCAGCAGATAAGTGTTCCATAATGTGGCTGGTACATTATAATGATCTGGTGAGACATATAATGTTTTTATTTATGTTTTGTTGCTTTTGTACCCATATAGAATGATTAGGATCACTTCTGTGAAGATCTACATGAAGATTCTTTTTTCAAGTGATTTTACACAGTGAATAAAATCCAATTTTGTTGACATAAGTTCTGTAATTCCATGTACTAAATTTGGGTTTAAACCTATTCAAATTGTAAAAATTGGATGCCTCATTACTTTTTAAAAGTACAACAAAGAGGATCTTTACAGCTGACTACAGTTTCTTTGTTCAAATGCTTTGTAGAAGCCGAACTTTATTTTAAGCTTAATTCTGTTTGTTTATTTTTTTAACTTAAATGGAAAAGATACTTCTAATTTCCTGAGGTTCTATATACGTCCTCTCTCCCTGTCTTTGTAACATGCACGCATTTTGAGGTAAGTGTCAAAGGCATTGATTTTCCCTCTAGGAGCACATCACTATCTTCTTAATGATTGCTTGTCTGGCAGCTGATGAGAGTATTTTCCTTCTGCACTTAAACAAAAAAGTCTTACCCAAAGCCCACTGAAAGTGGTGGGTGTTTTTTAAACACCGTGTCTTTGGATTGAGACCAACGATACAGATTTGCCCCCCATGTTGCAACCTATCATTGCAGCCTCAGCCTTAATGCTTTGAAGCACATATGAGGTAGTGAAGAGATTTTGTTGTTGTTGCACAAGCAGGATATTTCTGAAAATAACTCTGAAATGCTTTCCCCCTACCCCCACAAGATTGGTAAGGTGATTTTGACTCCTTTTTATATTGTGACAATGCAGTATTGTATGTAAAGTTTTTACATTGTTCACTTTCTGACAGTATTTGTACTACATTGTAATTAAAATAATGAAGTGTATCTATCATTGTATACCTGTACAAAGAGAATACCTATATTTCATTTATAGATGTTTGCCAGGAGCTAATGTGGCAAGTAGATTAATGATTAAAACTGCAGTACTTACTAAAATCTTTAGTCTTTAATATCATGCATTTTGTTCTTTTTCTTCTCAGGGACCATATCTGTGAACACATTACGTACACCATATACTGCACCAGGGGAAAGTGAAATCCTTGACTTGGATGATGACTTGTATCTTGGAGGCTTACCAGAAAATAAAGCAGGCCTCGTCTTCCCAACAGAGGTGTGGACAGCACTTCTCAATTATGGATACGTCGGCTGCATTAGAGATTTATTTATTGATGGTCAAAGCAAAGACATTCGACAGATGGCTGAAATTCAAAGTACAGCTGGAGTAAAACCCTCATGCTCAAGAGAAACTGCAAAACCTTGCCTTAGCAACCCCTGTAAAAACAATGGTGTATGCAGGGATGGGTGGAACAGATATGTTTGTGATTGCTCTGGTACAGGGTACCTTGGCAGATCATGTGAAAGAGGTAGGTTCCATGAGATGGCTGCATTTCTGTTTTATAGAATCCTGCAATGATTAAAAATGATAAAATAACATTAACTCTCCTGGGGCAGAAAAACCTTCCTTGATTTCTGTTTATGTGAGATGGAGTCTTGCTCTAGACTGAAAGAAGTAACTCTAGAGGAAAGATCTTAGGGGAGTTTCTAAGATGCATGAAGAAGTATCAGTTGACTACAACAGAGAGTCAGTACTGCTGAATGTCTGCTTTTGTGTCTCAACATACATTGCTGAATTCTGAAAAGTTTTGTAAAAGTAACTCCAATTATTATTGCATTACTAAACATTCCAGTTCCAAACTGAGGTCTTCTTCTCCACCTATTTATGTTGGTACCACTGTGTAATTGAATTTACTTTTGAATTCCACAATATCACTTAGATTCATGGCCAGAACTTCAGCCATGAAGCAAAAGAATCAGTGTAGGAATCTATATTTCTTACTTAACATTTTTCTTAAAAGATCCTAGTACCCAAGTGTCTTAAATTACTGATTATCCCTCTTGCCTACAAAATGTAAATGTAAAGTTGACAAATCCCATTCGTTTAGTCGAAAAAGTGGATAGTGGCAAGGAAGACAAATGTTGATGTTAGTTTATAGGAAGAAAACTTCCTAAATTTAAAATTCCATAGTACGCTGGTAAGATTGTAGGAAAACAATTAAAAAGCTTAGTTAATATTTTGGATGTTTGATTTTATTCTCATTGGAATAGGAAGTGTTTCAATGCCAGAAGTTGTATTTTTTCATTTTACAATTGACACAAGACAGTTTCTGTTCAGGCCAAAATCTAAACCTGAAGTTTAATGGCTGGGAATGTAAGTTCTTTCCATCTGGTTTGATTCATTTTTCTAGTTAGTAAAATGAAATAAAAATATATTCTTTAAAAATAAAAACCTGATGAACGTTTTAAGTTGTATGTAAATAGACATATGCATTTATGTAAATTAATACCGTCATATTATTAGCATTTGCAAGTAGATTCTCAGTTTCTTCTGTTTTTTTCTGTCTTACTTTTTGAATATATACGCCTTTGGCTAATGGCCAGTTATTCTGAGGTCTCCAGATTGTTCTGTTACTGGTGGAGTGAAGCTGACAGAGGGCATAACCGAGCTGTCTGATGCATTACAAAAGCCTTCAGTTAAACATGTCTGGTGTACCACCCTGTGGCAAAATTCTGCTATTACATGTGGCAGAAGTAAAAATAGGATTTGCGTTTTTTCAACTTGAGAGCTAGGAAACGTGTGTTAGAGACAAAAACACATGCAGATCTGCAGAGAACGTAAAAGGAGGCTTCATCATAGCAATTTTTCGTAAATATATTTGACAGGTGGTAATATTTTATGTAGAAACCTTTGTCTTTTTTATTTTCCACACTTTATTTTCAACTATCTTCCAATAGAGAGCTTGATTTTCCCAGTGCATTCCCCTAGTGGGAATGGTGGTACTGTAATGGTGGTGGTGGCTTCTGTACAATGGTATTTGGTTCTTGTCCAACAGAAATACGTGCAGCAGTTCAGAGAGTATGGGATCATTTCCTGCTCTTGGGTTTCCCTCTCCAGAGGAAACTACACTGAAAGGAGATCTCTTTCCAGTAATGTTCATATCCCAAAGGGTCATACATTAATAAGATTATAGCTTTTGGAATTCTGAAAGCATTATGTTGGCATCCTACCACACATAGTTATTAGAACTGCTACCCATGTGCAGTAACTGATAAACTTTTGTCTTTGGTGATACAGGCAACACAATTATAATTGTTCAAACTAATATAAATCAAATAGAAACATGTTAATTTCACCAAACAATACAGTCTCACAAAGAAAAGAAAGCACTAGAATAAAATATTGGATATTAAACAACTGGAATTTTTAACTTAATGTTAAATGATTTAAGGTCTCTTCAGTAAACAAAAGCATATAGCTACTTTTTAGGACCATCATTTATTTTTCATGGTCTTTCCCCTAAAATAGGAGTATTGGCATCCACATGTGGATGTATCACGTACAATATAGTATCTAAAATAATTTTAGTCAGTTTATTGGAGCTCAAAATACACAGAACAAAACTCAGTTCTGTTTGAATTTCAGTACACTTAAAATTATCATTTTTTTTAGATCCATATGCTTTTTATCCTATTGCAAGTTATTCTTGATATTTTTCTTGATTTTTCAGCAAGGTTAAACATCAGTATAATCTGTAGATTGGCTTTAGTAGATTACAGAAACTACAGCAGATGGACAGACAGATGTCACAGCAATATAATTTGGCTTCCTATCTTACTTTGATTGTGGACCACAATATGTGACTGACTCTCAGCAAAGCCTTTTGCAGGTGTATACTCTTGACTGGATGGCTAGGAACAATGCGCAAGAGTAAATTCATCAAACAGTGATAAAAAAAAGTAGGT